TGGTGCAGCGTCGATGGAGAGGTGATTTGGCAACTACTTCGCTACTACGGGGTCCCATCAACAATTATACATCTCACCCAGCAGTTGTACGACAATGCTGCACCCCAAGTAATCCACAACGAGAAACTTACAGAATCCTTCGAAGTGAGGACGGGAGTGAGGCAAGACTGTCTACTATCGCCAATGATCTTCCTGATTGCAGTAGATTGGATAATGCGACAGACGGTGGGCTATGTGGAAACAGACATAAAATGGACTCACACAAAAAGAGAACTTGGAGGATCTGGACTTCGCCCATGATGATATATGTCTGATTTCCCACAAACTGGAAGATATGCAAGTGAAAAGCAACAAGTTGGCAGAAGAAGCATGCAGAGAAGACAGGACTTCAGGTGAACATAGATAAAACAGAGGTGATGAAGATTCCTGGGCAATACCACCACCACCACCACCACCAACAACAACAACAACAACAACAAACAACAATCAGCCAGCATAAATTGGAGGAACCTGAAAGAAACAACCTGCCTTACCTACCGACGCGGGAAGCATCGTTTCAACTACAGGCGGAACTGACAAGGATATCAAAGCCAGAATCGGAAAAGCAAGACAAGGTGTCATTACGCTTAAGCCTGTGTGGAAGTCAACAGCACTGCTCAGCATCAAAAATAAGATCCAGATTTTCAACTCCAATGTGAAGTCAGTCAGTGCTATTATACGGATCAGAGACTGGCAAATGTGAAACAAGTCAAATAGTCCTTGAATGCAAATAAATAAAGCTTCTCGGTTGCAGAATGATACTTGAAGATTTATTCTACACAATATCCCTCAATGTTTATGGAGAAACAGACAGTTCTTAGGACATGTGGCTTATTAAAGAATCCAATGGGGTGGAACACCAAGAAGAAGCGTGGACGACTGGAGGCGACATATTAAAGCACAAGAAAGTACACAAAGGAAGATGCTCACCAGATTTCAGAAAAAAATCACATGAACCTCAGATATGTGGAGACACAGTCTCCTGGACACAAAATCGAGTATATGTGGACCCAAACCATTATCTAGTGCGAAAAACCTTAAAAATGAAGTTGAAGGCCTTCAAACGCACTGGAGCTACATCACAAATTAGGTTCAGCACTCATAAACTGAAGGATAAAACTACAAAGATACCACTGCAGCCATTCGAGCAAAGTCAGAGACGCTATATAACACCAGCCTTCTTTGTAAGGAAGAAAATGTAAGAAAAACAGTAGATCTTTACGGATGCCTGGAAGCTGAAAGAGGAAAAGGAGATGGAGGAACAGAAGGTGAACTGATGCAAGGAAAAGAGAAACCGAGCTCAATGCACCGAGCACTGAATAAATAAGTGGACAAAGAAAGTAGGAAAAACAAAGGACGGTTTCACAACACATTGGAAACTGAAGTGGAACAGACATCAGGTGGGAAGGACCTCAGATCACTATGCGATATAACCAGGTCGCTTTTCCGTGAGGGATCAATACCGATGAAACCCCTGGAAGATAGTCGAGGAAACTCAATTACCAAAGTAGAGGAACAAAGAAAACAATATGCTGATCACTTCAAAGGACTCTCGAACCGACTATTACCTGCAACTCGTCCAGAAATACCACCTACAATAGACAATGAAATACAGATGGACACCGAGTCGACAACAAAAGCAGGATTGTTGAATGCAACCAGGCTACTGAAAACCAGTCAGGAAGACAGCAGGACTAGATGGAATTCCTTCGGAAGTACTAAAACCAGATGCAGACACCTCAGAAGATTTCCCCACACCACCACTACACAAAGTTTGCCAGGAAGGAAGAAAGGCTCGCTGCCTTGTCATATTACCAAAGGAGGGTGACTTACACTTTTACAAAAGCTGGGGTATAATTATGCTCTTGTCTACGCCAAACAAAATACTGAGTCGCATCGTCCTGGAGAGTCTACAAGATGATCTTATGTGAGACTCTCCCCAGAACAAGCTGGATTGTGCAGATATCGAATTTCAAGGCTGTGCATCATCATAGAACAGAGCGTAGAACGGCAGTCAACTCTTCACCTCAAATTCGTTGAATTTGAAAGAACCTTCTACAGGGCTGACTGAGAAATAATTTGTCAGCTGCGTTAAACTCATTCATCAGCTATATGATGGTGTTATAAGCCAAATGATTCACAATGGAAAGGTTACTGCAAGGTTTGAAGTGAAGAAAGGTGTAATACAAGGCTGTCCACTATAGCCGATGGTATTCCTGAGTATGGTGGACTGATTCATGCAGCAAGCAAGGGAATAAGAATTCATGTATACGTTGGACCAAAAGAAGAATACTAGAGGATTCAGCTTCCATAGGTATTTTATGTTTGATATCTTTCAGTCTCGAAGACCCACTAGGGAAAACAGTAAAATATCTGGGATGGCAGCGAAGATATGACTTCAAGTGAACATAGAGAAGATAGACGTGATAAAGATGCCCAACCAACAAAAAGAAGGATTATTCATTAACTTATCTAGGTAGCCTCGTTCGAACTACAGGTGAGAGTGTTGAAGATGTTAAAGCCAGGATGGGAAAGGCATATAGGCTGTCATCCTTCTAAAATCAGTTTTGAAATCTTCTGCATGGAACATAAAGGCAAGATTTGAATTTTCAGTTGATGACATTTCGAGCACATTATCACAATATCAAGGTGGTATGATATGATTATAAGCAATAAATTATGCTCTAAACGTCATTATTAAATTTTACTGTATAACACTGTGAGACTTTATCAAAATAAAATTTTATCCGTAATGGAATTATACTTTACCAAGATGCACAAGTTTTATTCATATATCGCTGCTTCTGCGTTGATCAGAAACATGGCCAGCGCTTCACGTAAAGCATTTCCGACGGAATGCTTCAACTTTTCATCAACAGCTGCTTTCGTCTGACACTGAATATCAGATGGTCAGCAAGAATCAGAAACAAGAAACTCCGTGAAAGAAACAACCAAGAACCTATTGTGCAAGAAATATACCGAAGGAAATGGAGATAAACTGAACACACATTGAAAACACCGTTCAGTGAAGTCACACTCCACGCCTCTGAGAGGAATCAAAATAGGAAACGATGAGATGAGTTTCTGATGGTGACACAGAAATAGTCCTGAGTAGAGGAGATAAAAGCTAATAGTCAAACATGGAGTCAGATAAAGACGAGATGAGATAAATGTGCACTGCTGAAGCCCTGTGTTCTACTGGGAACCTAAGGGAATAATAATAATAATAGAGGAATTCTTATGAGATTCGGCTTTTATAATCTAAAATATACTTCTCTAAGAAATATGTAAATGCTCTCACTAGATAACAGAGTGTTAACATTTGGCTTTACTATTTTTGTACTGATGACACCTTAAGTAAGTTTAACCTACGGCCAGTTATATAAAATTTAATAGTGTACAGTAACAAGTTCTGAATCTGCATTATGCTTAAATATGCTGTACTGGTGCAGCATGGAATGTATCACTAAAAAAGCAGAGGTATATGATGCATATTAGCTCTAAAAAGTTTTCAGTTGAATGACTGCTGACATATATATATATATATATGTATTTGAAAAACCATTGATCTGTGTTATTAGTGACTATGTGCCATAACAGGCTTAACAAGTTCTTCAAGTTTTACTTTTTTTAGTAAAATAAAATCTCTAGTTTAGGGATATTTGTTGTTTAGATGTATCAAATTGATTTTCCATCAACAATATATATATGTACAAATAAGTGTACAATTTTGGCACCTTGACAACCATTTTATGTCTGCTGTTGGTGTAGTGATAACCAAATCGTCTGCGACTACAACTACGGTTGACACTGAGATTTTCTTTATAGGCTTATGATGAACTAAAAATAGATCTCAGTGATATCAATGAAAAATAAAATTTGCTTACGATAACACTCTGATAGAAAACACTTAAAACTCTCTCTATATTAGGTAAGATGTGTAATCTATTCTTCATCAGATAAACTTTAAGATAGAATTGTAAAGTTTGACAGCTAGTGTTGATCAAGTTAATTAAAATCGAAAATGCATAACTTGATATTTAAGTTCGGTTAAGCTCCTTCAAAAACTCATAGTAAGAAGTTTTAATTTTGTGTATCATAAATAAGTTTTATGTAAACAAAAAATATATATTTATTAATAAGCATGAATATTTCTAAGATAACAGTGTTACTAAACAATTAGAATAATATTTTGATTTGTTAGTTAGTTAAATATACTGATAAAAATCAGGGATTGAAACAGAATATAAGAGAAAAGAGAGGCTAGAAGTTTTGTTTATTATCACTAAACTAATTACTATTTAAAGAATACGCAATTATAATGATTCTATCAGTCTGATTTTATTACTTTATCAAATATTATTCCGCTCGGCTTATTAGTGCTTGATTCTTCTACAAATTTTCTAATATGTATAATCTCCTACCTTATTCCATCCCATCATAAAAGAAACAAAGGAAAATAAATAGATGCCTTAGTCATCGAAAACAAAATAGAATAACAAACTATCTGAAAATGCAAGTTGAATAATTAAATATTATAGTGTCTGTCACTAATCAAAGTTTAAAAGTGCTAATTCTATTTTACTTCATTTGTTTTGTTGACTTATTTGTTTGTTTGCCTTCTGGGATCAGAAAACGGTGGATTAACTTTTAATGGTTGACTTCTTGATTAAAAGAAACAGATTAATGTTAACTGCATAATTAATGAATAAATAAGGTAAAATAAATAGCTTGTCGTTTTATTATCATTTAAAAAAATATAACTAGAAGTCAGTTATTCATTAAAATATACTTAGCAAAAAATGAAGAAGTAGAATTAGTTTGTTTTAGTATAATTTTCATATATATATATATATATGTATATATATATGTGAACATAAAATGTTAAAAACCTGGAAGAAATATTTCTAAGCTATATATATAATATATATTTGAGTGAATTTTGCGCTTGCCATTTTGTTATATTCCTGATTAGACTTCTATCTATGCAGATAAAAAAGAAGAAAGAAAACAATGATTAAATTACTGCGAAGTGTGTATTAACAAATCTCTAAATAATGTTATTGATGTAGATGGCGGTAAGGTGAACAGAATTGTTGTGCCTCTCTGTATATAAAGACGTCAGTATGTAGGCCGAATGGTTTTGATATGCAGATGTTTTATGCTTATTATCAGTCATTTCATTGGTAACATCTAGGAAATTGTAAGGTGAACTTTAATCAATCAGTGAAACTTAGGAAAATGTTGTCGATTAATTTTGTTCATGTCGCCATTTTATTTGACATAGTGTCAAGGAAGTTACTTGTCAATGCAAGCGCATTTGATCACGGAGTTAGTATGTGATGAAATGAAGGCTTTCTAGGGTTTGCATACCCAACTTACCTCTAACTGCCCACAAGCATAAACCTCGATAATCAGATCTATTCAGAGATTGATGAAACTACGACGAAATAAATACTGCCCACAGTAATGATTTTTCTATTAACCCTTTCTTTTTGCTGAAAAAAGTCCTTTGTTAATAACCGTAAAGTTGTTAACAGATTATTTGTCAGTAATTGTCATTTTTAGTTTAGACATTTTTGGTGACAATTTGAAAATTTCAAATATATCTTATTTTTCAAGATTTCTTCTTGACTTCTGCCTAAAAAAAGCTAAAACAGTATGAAATGTTTTAGTAGTTTCACAGTTCCATTCTTCACAAGAAGTCTAAGGCAATACTTATAGCAGTTGACAAAATAAACTGAGTTTTGCAATTATTAGTGTTCTCTGGGCTGGTTGCCAATCATCTACCTGAGTTACAAATCTTCTCTATTATTTCATAAACTGAGTTTAATGGACTGTCCAAATGTTTTATAGAATGTAACAGATTTTTAAAACATAATCAAACTGAATTAGCCTTCAAAAATATCATTTTGAAATATGGGAAAAATCAGAACAAATACATGTGCTTGGCTGCTTTAATTTCCCCTACTTTTCCCCACGTTGACGCTTTATTTAAATACTACTAACTGGTTTACCACTTATTAGCCATGAGAATGGGTTTGAATGATGTGGTAATCGATTTTAAACATCTGGATGGGTAGTTGAAATCATTTAGTTATGTCATAATAAAAATGTATTGCTCTTCATGTCCCTTGAATCAAATTTCTTTGGCAGAATAGCCTGACTTTTCAGAGAAATCGTGATGTGATCATATCGTTGTATGTATAATTGGGTTACTTTTAGTAAGCAGACTTGAGAATAATTGCTAAAAGTTAGTGTAATTAAAGGAATCATTTATTCCTGTGTTTATGAATTAATCGTAGTCACAGACAGCATAAGCATACTTAAATACCATCCATCTCTCTAATTGTGAAAAGTTAGCAAGAGAAAAATTAGCCAGTACTGAGCCGTCTCACCTTAACCTCCAATCATTACTACCAGATCATTGGATAAAGCTCGAGTAGCCCCTGAAAGACCTTCACAGTTATAGATTCCATCATCCCCTGGTCTTACATTTGTTATTGTCAGTGTACTCACAACCGTTGGCATAGGTGAATCACAATTGCGGGGCACATTACTTATTCGAAAACGACCAGGTTCTTCAGGAAGACATCCCCAGTTGAAACGCCAAATGACGAATGGCACGGGATTACCAGTCACCTCACAAACAAGTACTACAGTATCACCTTGGCGAACAGAATAACGTGTTGTAAGCGGCTCAGCTATCATTGGTGCAGCTATAAAAGTTGAAAAAAAGTTCAGAGATTCATTTTTTTTATGTGAGTAAGGGTATTCAGAAAGTTAGTCATATAATGCGTTAAAATACTATCGCTAGATTTCTTAATCCGGGGTAAAACAAGCAAGTCTGAAACGTGAACAATGATTAGTTTAATTTTTCGTTATAATAAGAAAGATCCTGGACACACTTCTAAATGTATTACAGTTTATGGCCTCTTCTTCATGCCACAACCACACAAGCCCGTAAAAAGAAGCTGAGTCAACTAACACAGTCACAGTTCGTAAACACTTGGTATTTCCTTGTTCATAGGCATTTTTTGGAAAGTGTATATATTAGACTTTATGTTAACTACTTTGCGAATACATTTAAATATCACTGCACAGCTTGTATCCACAAGTAATACTACTTAAGTGTAGTGAAACAGTGGGTATGTATGCTAGTGGTTAAAGTGTTTTGCATTTCTAAGTGCAGATAGGCAAAATCTAGAGTGCTGATAAAATAATAATATACGACTCTGGATGTGGCTTGGAATATATTTTTTAGCACATATTTTATTAAATCCCTGTTTAATTACAGAAGTTTAGTCCGAGATTCGGACTAGCTTTTACGCCACAGGTAAAAATAACTTCTTAAAACTAGAATCTATTTTCAGGAGATAAATTATAAACAGATTGATTAATATCTTAGTCATGTGATAACCAATTAATTAATTGGTTGATCAACTAATTAACACCATATGGGAATACTGTTATCTGCTGAATTGTTAGAAGTTTACCAAGTTATGCACATCATAATTTTGCAATTAAATTTGCATAAGGTAAAATATTTTGAATTTTATTTTTTGCACATTTTACTTAATAATCTCTACTAACTTATTAATGCATTTAATTAGAAACATACGAGTTAGAGAAGATATCACTTTTCATAACTTCCCTTCGCATTTAACTAGTCAAAGTGACTGATTCAAAATGTAAACCTACCACAAGTAAGTTCATCTTCACCATCACTACAGTCTCGATCCTTGTCACACACGAAGGCCATTGGGATTTGACGATTATCACGAGAACAAGTAAACATACGATCTTGACATCGTTCAGATGCTCGAGCTGTGAAATAGGGAAAATAAAGTTCTGAGGAGTTATACTATTGACACAATATTACAACAATTATGTTTCCTGCTTCTTCTAAGAATCTAGTGAGCTAATGTAAGCTATTTTCATCTGAAACTACATATATGAACGACTTTTCCATGTTAAATAAATTTGATCCAAAAACAGTTTTATTACTAGTACCACTTTCGAGCACAATGTAGTGTTCATAATCCTATCGAAGTAGTCCTATGATCAACTTGTTTTATATAGTCCTACTTATTCTTTTTATTTTGTTCCCTGAACTCATTTTCACATAATCCTGATTGGTGTGGTGTCATTCTTATCAGACGTGTCAGATCCATTCTCCCCGCCTACCTGTATTACCTTTCAGTGGTTGGTGTGACGTACTGAAAATAAATACTTGTAGGAGGAGAAAAAGGTTACTCACCATGATTCAACTCCTACATATGTAATATGAATGACGCAACACCAATCCCGGACATATGCAAAATAATAAATACATCTATCTAACACCGAATTATAACCTACCACGATGCTGAAATTCAGCGTCAACAGACAAGCTTTCATAAATACGCTTCCATTTTACTTCTGTTTTTGTGTTAGTGTCTTATCACTGTTTATATTTATGGAGAAGGTAACCAGTTCCCACTGTACCTATGATCGGTGCTCCTGTATCTTTTCTTTTTTATTACTTATCTCAAACAGTCTTAATTCTAGTATTCTGATTACGAAAGGGAAAACGTTTTCAGAAGTTGTTTGTGCAGGGACTGTGTAAAGGTGCTTGGAAATTAATCCTTTAGATAATTATTAACAGACTGTAAAGAATGTGCAATCATGCTATTTTCTGAAGTCAACCAGAAAATACAGCCATGCTACTTTTTCATGGGATTTCTATTGTGAAAACAATGTTGTTCAGAGTCTTCCTAATACAAATGATTAGGTTTGCAAAGTTCCTTTTAGAGCCTGATAGTTGACGTTTCAATAAGGGTAGTATAACTCATAATCCGGACAACAATAAAACATACACAACCTGGTAACTAGATGGTAATAAGTGTGACCAGTTGATGAACTAACCGAAAATCTGGCTCAAAAGTTCAACGGCTCAAGTTGTCGTAGATCAAAACAACATAAAAATTAGGCGAGTGGAAACAATGGTACTATGATGGGCCGAAGTGGGCCAGACGAACAGAATAACTAATCAGTTTTCAGGTTCTGGAAGGCGACAAAAGTGTAAACAATCTCCACTTCCTTGAAGATTTCCACTCATATTTTCAGTAGTCTTCAGCCGTTGATCTTTAATGTCTGAAGTACATCAAACAAACAATTTAAATGTCCTTACTTATCTTGGGCCAATAGACAATGATCCTCTAAATTAATGATAAGTTTCCGTTTGACCACTACTAATATGTTCAACCAAATTCTACTTCAAGTAATATTGTCAACTGAGGAAAGCTGTGGTCTAACATACACAGAATATGTCCTGCTGTTTCAATAGATAAACACTTATAACTTCGTCGACTGTCTCTCCCTCTCTTCGCCTAATTCTGCGCATAGTATCACTATTAGTTGACATATTGCTTCATCTGACTCAGTTAGCAGAACGAAGACACCTACGTTAAAAAAACTCCCAATATTTTTATATTATCTTTACACTAGAAAAAACAGATAGTCAAGCAGTACACGTCCATCTGATGGATAGCTATATACGATGCTAACTGAAATGTGTCCCAAGTAATCTAAGATTTCGTCAGCAAGCAGTTGATCAGGTTAAATCAAGTAAACCACAACATTATCATTTACTTAAAATGAGCAAAATTCATGCTAGAGTTCTGTAAAAGCTATAAATTTTTAGGCTCTTCACACAGAACAGCCATGCTTTCGACGGGTTATAAGTTAAGTGAGCTTTTCCTTAATAAATAGGGATTTCTTTAGACGTTAAAATTAGAAAGAACTGTATGCATTAGTACGCTTGTTTCGAAAAAGAACAGTGGTATCCAAGATAGACATCGCTAATTTTTTGTCACTTCAGGTGAAAGTCCTCCATAAGTTAATACACAGCTGAGCCAGTTTCACTAAAGTGTTCTGATTATGAAGGATGACATACAACTAATGCACATTCTATACGGCAAGATACTACCTCATCATCTCTCAGTCAAAAGATACAATAAGTGACATACTCCATTACCTATTTAAAAGCAAAGATTTTTATTTTATTCTGGCACGTGAGTGCCTACTTTTCTTGAGTTTGTCCTACATAAACTACAGGGTCTTAGACACCACATTGGTTAACCAGTCATTACCGGAACAAGCGATCCCTTCTTCGTGAAATTGGATGATGAAAGATTTAGAACAGCTTGGTTGCAGTACCCTAGGCTTTTATCCCCATACCAATGGCTAAATCAGTCTATTCAGTATTTCGTCACCCTTGTCTCTTAAAACCTTTGGAATCACACACACAGATTCTGCCGCTTCGCCTCGTTTTTGATGAAAGGTGGCTTTTTCAGCCTTGGCTAGACATGAATGTTTGACGTTTGTGTTTCATTCACGCTGCGATAAGGTGAGCCACTATAATACTGTCATACACCAGGTGAAGTGTCTCTCTATTCTTTTCAACGTTTCAGCCGTTTCTCTTGAGAAGTTGACGCATTACTGTTCTGCTTGGCATAACATTTCAATGGTTTCTTCCTTAGTAAAACTGAACAGATGACGGGCTGTCGATGTCTTCTTTACTTTTTTTATGTTTGTTACCCAACCAGTGGCTGCAAAACTTAGAGTCACCCTAAGTTTAGGCGGAGCTCATTTCTTGAAGCCACTGGAATCAGTCACTTTACACTAATTATTCAAAAAAACTGTAGAAGTCCAGAGGCTTTCATCAACCTTCCAAAATAGACCGGGTATGGTTTCTTCAAGATGTGCCAAGGTGACACTCTTATAAGCGTTTTATCGTCAGTCTTTATACGAAGACTTAACGTTCTCACTAAGATAATCAACATGCAGTGGCTTCACACTTGATTGTTCTTTGTGCCACCCGCTGGCAGATATAAATATACGGGCATTATTCATGTTCTGCTTAAATGTTTGCTTTTATAACCAGTATTAAAAACTATCCTATGCACCTAGTATGTTAAAATATGTCATGAACTGTGTTGAGTATTGCTATTTTTAGACCTAAAATATCAGAGCTACCAAGAGAATAACAACAGTAATTAGTTATCAACTTTCAGGCTGCAGAGTTCGAGTGCTCAAATTTCATTGTAGTTTCATTTGGAAACCAAGTTATTGATATCACAAGTCACTAGGCAGAAATCGGGTGGTTTGAACTGATGTGGCTCTCTGAATTGTATCATACTTGTTACATCTTCAATGAACTCGGCCTTAAGCGAGAGAAACAGCAGTCTGATGTTCATATCATCTCCATCTAGTTATCAAGCACTAGTAGTTGATATGGTTGGTATGCAACTACTCATTCCAATCAATCAGTAGTATACAGTGTTATACAAATCTTTCTTGAACTCTTCATTTACTAATTCAAAAAGCGGCTACAGTTTACAATGTAGACTGATTTTCCATCCACTAAAAATTAGTATTCTGGAACTAATTTGTGCTTTTGATGTTGTTTTTGTCCAATGACTCTAGGTTATATAGTCAATACTTTGTTGATTGAATTTGATCCATTTTTGTTGACCACATTAATGTTCACTAAGCAATAAATTTTATCCACTGAAAAAGCAGTCCCTTACGAAATGACGTAGAACAGTAATGAATTTATCAGGTGAGAAAAGAATTCTGCACATTAAGTTCGAGTCGTATATAATGAAGATGTAAAAGTTATTGACTAAAGAATGAAATTAAACTAGAATAACTGGGGAATTTAATCGATCGATATGCATATTTTCAAAACCGACGGTAAAAATATTTAAGAAAATGGAAACAAACCTTCACAGTTAGCTTCATCGAAACCATTTCCACAATCACTTTCGCCATCACATGTCCAGTGTACCATGTATGTTGGTTTAATAGGTTCTCTTCCTTGATAATATTCACACTTTCTTGAAATTGGATCACACACATCTATCAATGAGGATACAATAAATTCAAGTTTCACCAAAAGAATCCTCAAATAACATTACATGATATAAAGATGCATTCTCATGAAAGCTTAGGCCGAGTTTTATGTCGATTAGTGGGCTTTCATTAACTGTATATTCATTAGTGAAGGAATTTACGTTTTCAAATTTATGCATGCTTTTCTCAATTCCACCATGAAGGTATTCAGCATGAAAATGACTATTTGTATGTAAAATGCATAACACTATACGATGGTAATACGATCTAGCGTGTGTGGTAGCCACAGCATTAACCTTATTTTTCAGTATGTTGTACATAATGTATGCCCTTTTTGTTGTTAACTTTACTGATATGAGAAATATGATACGTGTGTTTGTTAACTGCGGATACTTTGGTGCATTAAACTGTCTAATTTATAAGCAGTTTAGGAATAAAGTATTAGTCTTTCGGATAATAGTAAGAGGGTTGAGAATGAATTTTGCGCTCAACCATTAGTCAGTTCTTGGCAGCAGTTTCCTCACTGACGATCTATTTAGTATTAATTGTGTAAGTGCACCATTATTATTTTGATGGGAAAGATTTTAAAGTAAATCCAGCATGAAAATTTGAGACCTATGCGGTTAGTTAACAGTTTCCTTTCCTCTTTTAGTTGATGTGTTCATAATCTCAAGGTTTAATGAAAAAATATTTGCAAAACCTACACCCAAGCATATTTTAAATGAAAGAAACTTATGTGAATAATTGTGCCTTCATTGTTTCGTTAGGTGAAGTGCTGAATTTGAAAAATGTCCCTAGATATCTGTCAGTAACACTGTTTCTAATAAGGAGAGACCAACTACTCCAGAAGATGCTATTTTAAATGGCTTGCTGTGTTATATCGTTGATTTAGATTATTGATTTTTCCATCAAGCAAATCAAGTATCACAATGAAAGTGATTTTATAATAAAACAACTTCTTAAGCTTAAACGACATCAAGATCTCATTACTGTACTTTCTTTATCAGTATTCCTTTATAAGTGTTAAAATAACATTTCCTTCGATAGGATAAGTTAGAAATTTATTCTTAAGGCATATAGGTTTCATTTACTAAATTGATAACTTACTGCAAAGTTTAGGATCTTCATCTGAGCCATCATCACAGTCTCTTGCACCATCACAAAATCTTCCAGATGGTAAACACTGTCCAGAACGACAGCGACGTGAACCTTCTGGACAGATATCTTCAACGGTAATTATGGCGACCGCAGTGTTGCTGGGTTCCTAGGGAAAAAAAATAAAATTTCTCAGAAATATATTCAGAATATAGTTCATCACTTCAAGAAATTAAATTTCAACAGAATAAGCATATTCATAGTCTGTTGGAAAGACAGTTACTTAAATTGCATTTCATCATAGAGTTTCATGAAGTTCCAAAAGCAGGAATACACTGGATGGTCACTAAGATGTCGTCGTAGTGAATTTTAGATCTATGTTAGATGATTGGAGGTAGTCAAATAGACTAGACATATGACATAGACATTGACTACACCCTAGTGATCAGTCAGTGTATTCATTACAGTCGACTGTGGCATGAGTGACTCAGCGGTAATATCTGCAACTGTACTACTGAGTGATGAGGATGTGAATCCCTGAGCATATGTCAGTTCATCTGAGGATGAAAAAACAACTTACGGACGACCACCAGTAAGTATAAAACCTGGGTACACATCTTCCTGCTGATAATTTGTCATCATCCAAGAATAAAGCCAAAATAAATGATAGCCATAACGATGCCTGTTTTTAATTTCGATTTAATTTTTGATTTACAGCTTGATTCCACACTGTATTTTCGGTACAAGTATGGAATTTTCAGCATGGATATATTTTGAGGTCAGTCATTTTGCAAACGGCAGAACATAACGTCATTTCACCATACCAAACTCAAAGTTTGATTAAACTTTGTCATTTCAAAAAAATGCAGTTGAATGGTGCAGTTCAGAAGTTATCAAAGACCTCTCTTATCTATTTTCTTCAGAAATCATGCATTCTAATTCTTCTAGCTCCAACCCAGTGGGGAAGTGACCAGTGAAGTTCTATGTCATATGTTGTCTAGAGCCAAGGAAATAATTCGAACTACTGCCACCCTTTATTTGTCAATTTCTAGTCTACCGATCAACACTGATGAGGTGAAAGATAAACTGCTCAGTGTGTCACAACTATGTATATTTACAAATTAAGCTGCTTCTACGGATAAAGTTAAAAAGGGAGAACAACTAGACAGCTAAACGAACGCATAACTGAATACCGTTTCTCATGATTCCAAAATGTTAAATGGAAGCTACAAGATTTATGCAATCTATAACCAGGATTAGACAGAACAGTTCGTCTGGTTTGGTAAGGTGGGGCGAACTTCTTCAAGTAAATAAATAAAATTAAGACATCAAAGTTACAGATCCCCAAGAATAAATCTAAATGTTCTATTTTGTCTCATTTGACTGATAGGTAGTCAAAAGAAGTGCTTTGAAGGTTGCTTATCTATCGCATTCTGTCTGACTTTTTGACAGAGAGCCAAATCCACGGGAATTTTGGATAATAATTCTACTCTTTGCATAAAAAGAGGTTAGGTATACCTTTGTTTTCCCCAGGTCCAGGCGTATTTAGTAAACTGATGAAAATTTCTACGGCTTTCTTATTCTTCACTTATTCCGTACAATTATCTATCCAAATTATCCTTAGTATTACGTGACTTTTTTATTATTGCATCAATTGCTTTTCATTATCATTATTGGTTAAAGGATTTCATCATGAGCTGACATCGGTTAGAGAACCATTGGAAAAGCTAGGAGAACTGGACAGCTGTTTCGTCTCACTTTGGGACTCTTCAGCAGTACGCACCCACCGGGGTTCCAGCCAAGGACCTTCAGATTACAAGGCGAGCTCGTAGACCAATGGCCCATGAATTCCAACTTCTGCCAATTCGCAACATAGCGCGACCGCTAGCCAATGTCTTCGGCGTGTATTTGTGTTCACACCTGACCTGTTGCACCCATTGTTATTGATACGATTATAATCACTGTAATTAATGACACGCAACATATCATATCTATCTGATACACCAGTTACCATCAGTGATTAAAAATGTCTGTGCATAAAGCTTTGTACATTAGAGAAAAGCCTAAAGAAGATCTTGTTTTAATTTTAACAATGGAGAACATCTAACAATTTTCAGAATTAACATAAAACTGTAACATAAATAGTGTGCCTGATAAAATGAAACATACTCTCTCAGTTCAGAATACTTTAAATACATTTCGGATACCCGATGTAAAACTTACCTCTGAAAGACATTCAACTACTGTTCCATTCTGATCTGCCCCCAAACCTCTTTGCAGAACAAATCTGACACGATTTTCACTGACACGAATTGTTTCATAGTAAACTCTAGAGTCTCTAACTTGGAAGCGTGGTGTAAATGGAGCTGGCTGTCCATCAGATGTAGCAAAACATTCAAATTCTATAGGTTGGTACGGTCGAACAGTTAGTCTTGGAGGGGTAATTGTCAAGATATATGTTCTAACAGCTCCTGTATAAGTAAACAAACGTAATTAGGAATGAAACATAGGATGGCTGGCGATAATGCATTAATTAAAAAACGTCTTGGAGATGTAATGGCATTAAAATTTGATTTCACTATTAATCAGCTGAACAGTATGAAATCTAAGCCAACAGGAAGAACTAATCACCATTTCTAATGAATCTGAAAGATGCTTCACTTCAATTTCTAGACAATAATAAAGCAGTTTTTTCAAGGATTGATACAGGCTGGAGACATCCTTAGAGTGCATACGCTTTAGATACGTTTTCCATCCTGATTTAGGTAGAACTGAGCCTGATAGGGTTGATTATCTCACATAACTTATAATACACAACCAATTATTATTTAATTGAATTTTAGGTTTTCCCGTCGATTGACTGGACCGAAGTGCTCGGTCTCAGGTTGACATATCGGCTTCTGGTGCAGATGCTTCAACGATGTCTGGATAACGCTTTGGCGTTTGAAACTATGGGCACTGGGTTCGAGCTTCGGTGGGAACATCATCACTCACTGGGGAATGCAGGTACATCCAGTTGACGAGTCCCAAATAGGATGAAATGCGCATCCTGCATTCCACTGCTAGTCACCATCTACCAATTGAATTCCACTCAACCAGTAAGTTATATTCTAACGGTTAATAAAGCAAGCTTCTGTCCATTAGCGAAACATACAGAATAGGCTCAAACAGTTATTCAGGGTTCCAAAGGTTTAAATAGTGCTTCAGTTAACTTTGATAGGTGAACTGGTAAAGAGAATTAGACGAATACCCCTTCAAGTACTTTAGAAAACATTCATTTCTTGTTGGTTTTAGTAACTTTTGAAAATGATTTAAAAATCACCAAAAAAGTTCCTGAATTCAGTCACTATCATAAATTAGAAAAACTGCATTGGGGGACACATAAGGTTTCACAAAACATGAATTGAAGCTGAACAAATAATAATAATAAGTCATTCTGTCAAAATCAAAAAGGAATTAGAGCAACTTGATATAACGTGAATACCAATGCAAAAGCCGTTCTGGAAACATCTAGATAGTAAAAACTGAAGGTAAACGACACAACGCTAGGTTATTCAAATACATAAGACTAAATGTTTGCAAATACTAGTTCACTCATAACCCTATGTGTTTCGAATGACGCAGAAAAATGTCATTTACTGTCAGTCGTAAAAACCAAAAGAAGTCATTTAAACCAGTGTATTAGCTATAGGTTAATGACACTGGGCGTAAAACTTTATATTGAAGGGGAAATGAATTAGTCATGGACTCTAAATACTTATTAAAAAATGTGCCAAACTTGACCTGTTTCGGAAGCGCTAGACTGATGTCTAAAACTTAGAAAAACCTCAAATTAGAAGGCATTGTGATTACGCTATTAAAATATTGTTGATCTAGTTACAAGTAGGTAACGTCTTGAGGATCATTTGAATGCTAGGAATTGCCGCACCATAGGTTTATCTTAGTCTAATACTCTTCAGCAGCCTGCAAAAAAAAGAGGTAAGGGACCAGCAATTCTGAAGAAACATAGTCAACCCCCAGGTTTAAACCTAGTTCCCAATGATTTTTCATTTCTGCTATTAATATTTAATAAAAAGTTATGGGCGATGAGATTAGCCAAGTGAATCGTATGAATAGTTTCTCACCGATTTCAGTATTGAAATGAATGCTGTAAGCTATTATTTTGCGAAATCACTGATGAATATCAACAAAAAATCTCAGACATGGAGTAATAAAAGAGTGATTCTTACAGCTGATCTTCGTCTGTGACAAAACAGTCAGCCACATTAAACAATTAATTATAGTTAGTTGTTCTCATGCAACTTAAACTGAAGTGTTTGGCGGAAAATGGTTTATTTGATGAGTGAATTTCACAGTGTTATTATTCCCACTCAGTGAATGAAAACGGTAAAAAAAAATGCTGTTGTTGTATTTCAAAAGGTAAAAATCATCAAAAATAAGAAACTTCATATTAAAGTTGGAAAACAGTATTCGAGCGTTGAATTAGGTTTACAAGCGGTAGATTATGTTCACAATTTCACTCAAAAGTGAGGGATATATCAAGTCTTTCTAAACTTATGCGTTGATCATCACGATTCCGTTGTAATCAGATATGCGGTTAACAATAAATATAATTTCATATTTATTTTCAAGGGTTAGTTTGCCGGGAATTGATAAATTCTAAATTTGATCACGGACTGATATCAGTTAGAGAACCAGTGCAAACCAAGGAGTACTGGACAACTGTTTTGTCCTAGTTTGGGACTCATCGGCAGTATGCACCCACTCCACTGGGTGTCGAAACCAGGAGCTTCCGGTTACAAGACAAGCTTGCAGACAATTCAGCCACTGACACCCGACTCAAATAAAGCCGATGTTCACTAGTGACTGGCTACAGGGCGGAGTTCCCTAGAGTTCTAGTGAGCAGTCTTGACTAGTGGGGTCCATTCCGTCGGGAGTGGAGAAAAATATTCCCTGATAACAATGACTGATGGTCACGCCAAAATCAAGAATTGGCAAAAGTTAGAATTCATGAGCAGGCTATTGATTCGGGTTTCAGTGGTTGAATGCTCTACGAGCTTTCCCTGTAATCGGAGGGTCCTGCGTACGAACCCCAGAGTAGTGGGTGAGTACTGCCAATGAAACCCAAGCTGGGACAAAGCAGCTGTCCAGTACTCCTTGGTTCGCAGTGGGTTTTTAATTGATAACAATCCGTTATCAAACTTAAAAGGTTTTCATTGTTAGAATAAACAACTTATTATATTTAATACTCTACTTCAGTTAATTATGTTCACAAATTTCATACAAAGTAAAGAAACTATTATCTCTAGACAAAAAATGTAACCATAATGTCACCATTTCAAAAACTATAAACGTTCATCGTTAAATTTAGAACAATAAGTTCCTCTTATAAATTTTGATAGCGTTATTAGAAGATGGAGATTATCTGAAAAAATGTGATGTATTTGCGCTATACATTTCGAATAATCTGATCACACATTTACTTGTCAAGTCAATATATACGGAAAAGTTAAGTTAAACAAAGTGACGAAAAAAAGAATTAAGAATAATTAACACAAACGTTTGGTAATCCAATCAAATGAGGATTACCAAGGTAGGTTATGAGTAATAACAAATTATTTTTGAATAAACAAGGGGGGCTTAAGTTTATAAATAGCTATGGCCTCAGCGTATTTTAATAAGCATCCTTGACCATTTTTTATAGATGATCTTATAGGCTGAGTTAACGTCAACCCAATGGGTCATCTCGATTATATGTTTAGCTATAGACATAGTTAGTAGTCTGACACCTTCGTCAATCGGTTTTCCACAATTCACTTATTCTTCTAACCATTTCGAGATCTGCTCTCCCACCCTCACATGCAAAGCACGATACTCCTTCCTATAGATGTGTGTCCACACATACACACGAAAACTGGTAAATTGTGTGGGATTTGATATAATAATTTGTGCAATTTTGAGGTTTGCAGTGGAGCATATTTTTAGCTTTTTCCACAATTACAAGCTGGGCTGCATAGTAGATTCTACGGATGATCGAATTCAACCTTTGTCTCTAAATCCTACTGTTTATTTCCCCGTTATATGTTAATTAGATGAAAACCTTTTTCTTAGGGACGGTATGGATTGTAGGTTTAAAGACGAGATGACTTCTATCATCATCAATATTTCATTTTCTAACATCAGTCGTGTAAATACGCTGAATCCTCTTAGATAGACACTTCACCAAGCCTCTCTCATACTTTAATGGACAGAAACTGTGAAAATTAAGGGATTGCTCTGTCCAAGTGGGCTTTCTGTAGATAGACCGTCTAATTGAGCCATCATCTCTTCGACTCAGAAGTATGTCTAAAAATGCAAGCAATACATCATATTTTTCAGATAATCTCCGTCTTCATCACTAAAACTGAAGTTTCAGGGAATATGGAATGTTTATCAACTCTAGACTAAGCTGGAAACCTAAGGCTAGGGTATCTAATGTATGGTTCTCTGTGTTTAAATCTGAATGGGGAAATAATGTCTTATACAAGATGTACAAAAATTCACAGGTTAATTGTCAAATCTTGTTCGTCCTCAGTCGATACAATTTATAGCCGAGACTGGAATTAAATGCGACATAATTCATTATTATTTAAGAATAACTTATTGTGAATAAAATTTTTTTTTTTAAATTCGTAAAATACAGGTGTTCTTAATTTGACTTGGATATTACCTATCAGGTGCAACATTCTAGTGCAAAATTATTTCATTCTCTAATCAACTAACTTAATATTTTGATTTTGTCAGCATACATTTACTCTTTAAATAACATGAAGATGTAACTGTAGAATCTGCAGGTTATTCGAAAAAAAATATTATTCGTTTACTAATCAGTGAACCATTTTCAGTCCCAGGCGTCTGTAGTTATTTTACATAGCATCAAAGGACTGCTTTCATTCTTACTGGTATCTATTTATGGAGGTTAACTCTGTTCTAAAAGAACATTTTTCACCTTGTACTTATTATGCTATACTTCTTTTAGTAAGGTGATATGCACCGAGTGATTATGATTTCTGTGTATTTTCATGAAGTTTTAAAATGTGAACATAATTTTGCATAAATTGACAAGAATTATTCATATGAACTGTGGTCAAGATTTGACCTAATAGTTCTGAAATAATTGGGCGCCAAGTGAGAAGTGGACATTTGTAAAATATTATATTTGTAAAACCTCAGCAAAATTGAAATGATTAATTCCAACGTTTCGTTCGTAAACATAACGGAGGTTTATATAAACCGAACGAAACGTTGGAATTAATCATTTCAATTTCGCTGAGATTTTACAAATGACGAGAATTAGGTTGTTATTAGGCTTTATATACGAAAGGAACCAAACAGAGAATCCTGCCGAATCAATTTTTCATACAACCTTTTTTAGCATTCCAGCTTTTAGCCAAACCTTTTGCAAAATACAGTCTGGTCAATTAATCAACAACTGTCTGGTGAAGATAATACTTTCACTACTCCTGTGTAAAGCTACTGTCAGTTTCAGTATATAGATAAATCTAAACGAAATATTGCACTAATCGAACAATAGTGACCTTTATCACTGGTGTTCTAGTTTAAACAGAAAGAAAGCCGAACAGGCTACAATGAAATTATCTGACTACATCTGTACACTGTTCGGCATTGTTTTGATCCTATAATAGCCACTATGCTAATCTAAAAGGTAAACAAATTGATGTGTGTCTCACCATAAAGTAGATGTTTTATACGTAAATATCTGGTGTGGATAATAGGTTTTGATAAACAAACATCTAATCAGCAGAATAAAAGTTATACTGGATGTATAATTTATATATTATATTTAAGGCGTTCAGCAGTGCATGAGCTTTGACTTTATGTCATGCCTATGACGGGCTAAATTGTTTGTTTAAAAAGGATGTATATTTACTGAATAGTGGTTCAAAGTAGAATCTTATAAATCAAAGTATATTTAGATGTCCACTTATATCGTTAATCCATAGTTCGTTTGTGTACTGTAGAATGTAGTAAACATTATTTGTCAAAATATCAGGTTACTTTATTGAGGCAACCGTTTAATAACCTATGGTTGTTTTGGTATATTAAATGAAAGTTAACCCAGTCGAGTTAAAATAAATGAAAGCTGTAACTTACTAACAAAAAGTTTTCCAATGACTTCTTCATTCTGAGATGGTAACCGACATATATATTCACCTTGATCAGATACGCGTGCTCTCGCTTTATTAATAAAACTAGTATGCTGAGCGAATGGATCATCATTACGCGAAAAACCGTCTGGCTGATTAAGCTCAAGGCGAACTCGTGTGGGACTGTTGAATGGTCTGTAATACCATTCTAGTTGACGACTCACATCACCTGCTAGTCCATGCACACGACAATGAAATTCAACAGCAGTACCTTCATCGACTGTATCAGATTTCGGGTTGATTTCTAGTCCTTCTTCAGCTGTTCGGAAGTTAATCAGAAAAAGCTAAAATTTGTTATACAAGAAGATAATATGAAGAACAAAATAGCAACATTAATTTGTCATAAAAGACTTCATTCTTATCTGTTGCTTATCTCTCAACGTAACTTTGCCTTCACTTCTTGGTAAAAGCGTATTTCAATATAAAAAACCTCAATTGATCAATCCTTTTGTTTTCTAAAAATCGTATTTAATACATGATACAATAATTCCCTTGACCATTTTAGCAAATAACTTATATCGTATATTAGTTGGAGGTAAATGAAATTCTCTAGAAACGCATATAGCCTAGATTACAAGCTGCGAAGTAACAACTGAGAGCGAATACGGATATTGAAAATGTCATTCTACTCATCTGCAGATTTATAAATGAAGCATATATATGCATCTAGAATGTGGTAACTGTATTAGTTTTGATAATTATACAGTCACTCTGCTCGTGGGGAATCAGTTTCTGCATTCTTTATTTACTATGTACTGCTGGAATTTTCTCGTTCATTTTGGTAAGAGCATTAGAGATTTCTGTATTGCTACCTGATGAAATTTAAAAATAGCTTTATGACCTTGAAAAATTAACTATACAAATGTGACAGCTGTGTGTTACGAACGCAGAAGATACTGAGACTAATGAAAAGAAGCCTACAATCAAACTACAACCCAGATGAATTAATTAGAGGCTATAACAAGTTAAGGAAATGAAGTACAATCAGGCTCGTTTCTCAAGCCTATCTGAATTATATTGTAACAATAAAGCTAATGCTTAACATTTAGTACACAAAAAATGTAGATACTTTCCCAATAACATCTCAGAGTTATTTGTTGGACATGAAATTCACTGAATTCTAAACACCTAGTGACTTTCTCTACCGGTGTCATTTATAAAAGAATTTCGAATGTGAGTGTGTCTGTAAATTATTTGAATCTAATTATATATAAGTATAATTCAAAGTTGGTTGAGGTTTGAGTAGTAACAAATGCTTTGATTTCGTCGAACGTAGAAACATAATTGGAGGACTGTGGGATTCTCGAATTGTCAACAGACATCTTACTAATAAGCACGAGTAAATCCAAATTTCGGACTCAGGTCTATATCCAGATGTCTGTTATCAAACAACATCCAGTCTGTTTCTATCCTAGGGTACATTTGTTTAACTTATAGTAATATAGTTCTATTTTCCTCTTCTAATTATTTGGTTACTCTCAATTGTTCAGATGTGATTAGTGTCAATTTTTTTCTACAATAATTCTCATCTTGTTCAGATTATATGGTGTATTGCATAAATACTAAACAAGCTAATTCTATATTTCTGTATTACATTATACAACATTACCTACCTGGTATGTTACCTGTGTTCATGTAAAAAAATTCACATTGTTATTACAGTCTTCATTGTTTTGTTGAGTTTTATAACATGAATTAGTACCATAAAATTTTATCAACTATGACAAAAATTAGCACTAGGGATTTCGCTTAATGCGTAATTTCTTACTTCTGACAACCAAATGAGTTTGTTTAACATCACGACCAATTCTGCATTCATATGTTCCAGCATGATCATTTTCAATACCTTTGATAGTCACAATGCTAACTCTCATGCGATCTATGCGGAAAATTTTTCCGGTTGAATTTATTGTTGGATGACTTTCTAATAACTGATTCTCGAAATACCATCTAACATCTCTTGGATTAGCAACAGGGAATTCACAGTGAAGTTCACGTGTTTCTCCTGGTAAAGATACCATAACGGAACCAGGCGGAGCACTCATTTCTGTCAGCATTAAAATACATAAAACAAGCAGTATTTTTATTAGCTTTATCTAAAATTAATTTACTTTAATCTTAAAAGTCATCATTATTACTGATAATTTATGTAAATACAATAGGGTATAAAAGTGGTTCTAAATTGATCAGTGAAAAGTAATTTAATACCGTTTCACATGAAACACAAGACTGTTGAGTGTTTTGCATTCGTTTTGTATTTGCAAGCTGACTTTTTTCATTCCTTTACGTTCCAAGTGGAACATAGGGCTTCAAGCTAGAGGCGTGAAGTTTGAATGACAGTGTTGCTTATTTTTACGGGATAGGGTTGCCAGCCACACACTAAACCTTCCCTCTTCACCAGTCTTATTACCAGCTTAGACTGGTAATGAAGTGATTCAATCGGGGACTGAACCTCGAATAGCATGCGTGGTTGTTGAACATTCTACCACTGTCCTACCGACGTAAGTTGACTTTACTGGAGTGAAATATAAATTCTTAGCATATAGTGTCCTCCAACTGATACCTAATTGATGCCTTCACTTTTGTTGATTGCTACTAGTTGAATGCAGAATAAATTAGGCTCGTGGTTCACCATGAGAACAGAACTTGTGCACTGTGGTAGAGTATAATTCCACTGTGGATAAAAGATTTATTTTGATAAAGTGTCAAAGTGTTATATAGTAATGTTTAACAGTAAATATTACTGTATAACAGTGTGAGATCTCATGAAAATAAATTTTATCCACAAAGTAATTGTGATTCTCTAGTGCAATAAGCAGCATTAAAATATTTGGGACGTTGTTTCAGAGTAACAGACTGTACACCATCACACGCTGGACTGTAGACATATTTAAACAGTGACCGATGGATAGAACAAAGGCGTCTGTGGGTTTCACTGTTAACTGCCATCACAAAAATTACATCGGGCTTAAAATACACATGTGAATATGCTCAAGAAAAATATCCCGTCTTATTGAACATCTCTTTTAAGTATTTTGAAAAGAGCAGTAACAAATATCTTAGATAGCCGGTGAGTGATCCCACTATTCTCCAACCGATATCTAAATAACTTCTGGAAGGAAGATTATGTACAGCTACTAGAAAACGAGATTTTATGATGGAAATATATGAACCAATCATTCAACTGAGATCCGCTTTTAAATATAATTAAATTCTCTATATATATTAGGAAATTATCAATAACAGTTCAACAAGATTCCCCTGACTGTAACACGCTGGTACACAGACAAGCTAGAAAATGTCGTGTCACTTCACGAATATTACGGTTGATTAGTGAGATGACTATATCCAGTTATCCACCAGCGAGAACTTAGTAATGTGTTCACGATTTCACCACTGCTTTAGCAACTTAGCATTATTGTAAAATTTCCTATCTTTTAACAGACTGATAATTCAAACCAGTTAGTTCAGCAAATATGAAAGCAGATAGTGAAACAGTGTTTCCAAATCTCCCCATTGACAAAAAAGTAATTATAACTGAACATTCATGTACACCTCAACGTGATACCTGTGGGTTCGATTTAGAATTAAGACCAACAGACCGACGCCACAAAAGATAAACAGTGTATAAGTGACATATTTCAGGGTTATATAGGTCTACATTTACAAGACGCTTAAAACAACTGTTATGCAATGAAGTCATTTATCAAATGTAAAGCAGAGTAACTACTTTAACGAACAAAGAAATTTACATCTCTACATATCAGAATGTTAGTGAGATCATAAGATGCCTTTTTCAATCATTGTGGTATACAGAACAACCAAATGGCAAAAGAATATCTTCGGGCTAGTTAAAAGATTCAGCACTTAAAGAATAAAATGAGAATTAAATATAGAAGCCTATTTATCAATGGTACCAGCATGCGGTCTTCGAAAAGCTCAAACGTTTCTTGAGGCTTAACTAGCGGTTAGTCCCAAAGACCTGACGCAACTGATCAGAACGAACCCCTAGAGTTTTAGCATGAATTTTATATTAAAGTATTAAGAGTCCAATCATTACGTAGTTAACTAAATCTTATTGGGCCAGCACTAGTTATCATACATTTATATCAGCCAAACTTTATTCAACAAAATTAGTTTTAAATTTTCTGGTATTCTTTAGAGTTGAGGCATTCCAGTATAAAACGGGAAAGTCGCCTTCACTTGTAGTCCAGGTAGTAAGACACTCTAATTAAAAGTCTACGGAACTTGAAAAGACTTAAGTTGTCCTTTATTACTCAGTAGTATAATCGAGGGCATAAAAGAAAGATGAACCACTGTTATCCTTATTTTTAACTGCAAAGCGTCCTTGCTAATGTGTCGCGAAGAGTTATACACAGTGTCACCAGTTTCATACATCCAAAATTATCACCTCAGTGGTTCTCCGCGGAATTCACACGCCCTATTATCAAACACAACGGAAATAGTTTTACAGAAGCAGTATTATTACCTCGAATGTCTACTTTGAACGCTGTGTGAAGCATATTTCAAACACCCCAGAAATTAGGTTTTCTACTGAAAACTAACTAGAAATGTACTAACTAGAAAAGTATGCTTGAAGTATGGAAAACGGGGTAATTGGTTTAAGATTTCAGTGGACTGATGTTTTCCAGCATGAAAATTTAAAAAATAAATACTTTAAGCTGTATAAAGGCATCAGTACAGATCTGTGAAGGCTTCCATTTTCATATATCAACAAATGAAGAGAGTCCCAAACTAGGACGAAACAGCTGTCCCGTACTCCCAGGTTTTCCAATGGTTCTCTAACTAATGTCAGCTCATGATGAAATCCTGAAACCAATCAAATCCCTACAAACCAACACTTGAGAAGTCATTGCATTTTAAGGTTACACTAAAGGATTGTGTTTTAATCAATAGGACGAAGTTGTAAGACAACGTCTTCTTATATAGTTATATATCTATTCTTGCAAACTAACTATGAAAAATGCTTACCAATTTTTGTTTCTCTTGTTAATGCTAAGCTTAGTTCCACGGTTGCATTAGCATCTATACTTCCAGTACGTGAATATCTCGGTGTCCACTCAGCTCGACATATATAAGTTCCAATTTCTCGGTATGTTAATGAATCCACGCGTATTAAAGCTTCACGATGAACGATTTCACCATTGTGATACCATGAAAATCTGACAGGCTCTTCTGGTGGTGGTTCCACTTCACACACCATTTCATATGGTCTACCAATAATTACCTCACCGGTAATTGGTCGAATATTTACAATGTGTTGCATAGCTACAAAGAAGATAATTAATGAAAAACATAAGTTTCTAAAACGCTATAAAATAGGAGTTAATTTCCAGTTTGTAGAGTAAACTGATAATTAACAAAGAAAATACCTGGAAAATTTCAGGCTGTGTCATGTAATACTACTACTGATTATAAAAGCCCATAACAGCAATATCAACCTTCGTTTAATTATTTTCAATTCGTAGAGAATTTTTCAAAACATGAGCATGCAGGAACACGGGTCAGATTAAACACAGAAAAATTACTGCTTATTTTTGTGTTTTTATCAATAAAAGTCGAAAGTTTTGTTTATCATTATATCAGGGATGTAACTGCCTGATAGATGCAAAAATTCTTCATCTCCTAATATCAGTTAAATAGTCTGCCTCAGTGAAACGTTGTTACAATGAGTTGTACATAAAACATAACACCATGAAAAGCGTGGAAAACATTTGCCTATGAAAAAGAATCGGTTATTCCATATCCAGCTGATTAGTCCAAATGTAAAGAAAATGACTTCTGTTCTCTTTAGTCATAGAAACACATTGAAGATTCTTGTCAACTGAACTCGATGGTATTACCCTTGGCAAAAAATACGAGAAAGTTGAATAACAGCACACGAAAGGATTGTGTTCAGCACGTTAATGTTTTTGTCTCGCTCCTGAGTTAACATTGATACGCCATGTTTCAGATCATTTAAATTTCTAGTATATGATACTGTTGCATGTTTGAAGGTGCATTAATTAAACATTTATTCGAGGCTACTCAGAAAGGATATGAAACCCTGAAAAGATCAGAATATCTCAGATTTATTTATTTAGTTTTAAACAGAACTTCATGAAATTATCACATGTTTGAAAAAAAATTATTTCTGGCAAACATACTGCAATCCATACAAGTTGAATATCCAAAGTCTGAGCTTTCGTATTTAAGAAACTTATCTGAAGGAAATTAAGCTGAAAATGCTACTCTGAGCAAGTGCTAGTGTCTAAATAAATTCAGAGGTGGATTTCACAAAAGCACAATATTTATATATATATGATGATGAAACATAGACCTTATTTTTATTGTGAAAGGCTCTAATTTTGTTTCGCTCAGTCGTGTGATCTTCGTGTCTTTTCCTAAACGAACACACACCAAGCATGAAAAAGGTTTCTATCACACCATAAAGTGTATTTGATAAAAGCTATTAGGCTTTTGAAGTGCCGGTAAACTGATTAAATTTGACGATATTAAGACAGCATCATTTTCGAAACCATTACGAAGTAAATATAGGCCTTCGTGATATCCCTTTTAATTACCCATGGTTGTGTTTGCATCATTTCATTGCATAAACATGCTAATGGGTGTCTTGTGAATCATGTATTTATTATATGGAATAAAGATTTTCAGTGTTTTAAAAAAATTGAACAGATTTATTCTATTCTACCCAGTTCATAAGTGGATTTGTCACCAACATCTTAAATAACCACTACTTTATGAAATGTATGACAGTGAATGTTTCTAGATTATTTTTAGAATTATTATTTTGTTACGTTACATTTACATAACTTATTTATAAATAGTTTGAAGTGAACAGTCAAATGAAATGACCTGAGGAAGTGTTAATGGATTGTCTTTCGGGGACACGACAACTGTTAGCGAAACTCTATGGTAACTTAACAACTGTCATGTCCCCTGTACCTGATAAAGGTAGTTTAGTAGGAGAGATGATTGCGTGATAGTGTTAAATACTGATTAATGAAACAACGAATCAGCACTAGCTTTTAATGAGAAATATTCTGTAGATAAAAGCACAGATAGAGAAAACCTTTTGAAATAATGATTTTCCTGTACCTGCACTCATTCATTCCTTTTATCCTGCCAAAAATCCAAAACAGATGTATACAAACACGATAAACCAGAAATATAATGTGTCTTTGTGTTGGAAAAACAATTTGATTAAAATTAATTAAACCCAGACTTCAGTTAAAGGGCTACAATAATAATAGTGATAATACTGAATATTGGCACAGTTACTGGACCACTACCCTGAAGTGTAGCGAAATGCAAACACAAGTAGGCTACAATAGGTGAAAACAGAAACATATTACACACTGCCGTGTATCTATACTTCTGATAAATGTCTAAGAACACAGAAATATGAGGCAAATTGTACTGTTTTAGCCCTTAAAAGTAATCACTTATAGAATTAGTGAAGAATGAGTAATCAATAACAGTCTGAAAAATGAAACAACTGTTTTCGTTTCATGTTTTTTGAAGCATCCATTAGCATCACTAAGTCTTTCATAATCATGACTTTATTTCTTCAAAGAGATACAATGTACTAATGATGTTTGACTCTTAAAAATAATTCTTTTTAGATGTCATTTTTTAAATTAGTTAAATTACTGACTAAAATGAAGTTTATTTCAGGTTAACTTGTAAGAAAACATGTTACTGATAATAATAATGGAAGATGACAATGTTAAGTATTTTCCGTTTAACTTCATGTTATTTTTGTTGTGAAATTTATTTCCAACAAGTTTGACTGCTATTTTCTCGGTGTTTGGAATAATCAGTGCTGGTTTTGTCGTTCTGACTGGAAACACTCACTCCCTTTGGGATACAGGTGCATCCACTTGATGGGTCAGAGAATGTGACGAAGTCCACCTATTGGATTCAACTGTCAGCCGCCACCAGTCAAGCAACACTATTTCTTTTAGTCTATTAGTGCAGAAAACTAGTTACCAGTTAAGTAGTATGTGCTGTAATGCTCTCTTAAGTTGTGTTTGAAACATACGAAAACAGATTAGATATTAGCAGAAGTAGATGAAGACCGACAGTTACAAGTGCCCATCATAGATATCATGGAAAAATTTGTGCAGAAATGATGCACATTGAATAAAAAATGCAATATTGAAACTTACACACAGGAATGGTTGAAGCTACACTGTACACATATACCGGCATTAACACGGATTTAGTTTTGGAACTAAAAATATAACATACTCGAAGTGGTTTCTTAGCAGTGTTTTATATGGTTTAAAAGAGGAGGGTGATCATCTGTTGCATTGTACATTAATAATAGTTAGTATACTGGCTATTAACGCCAACGTTTCGTAATTCCACATTTTCGATGTTTTATAAAGAACTACCAATAAGGTATGTTCTGACCTTTAATCTGTAATCTTTGCTACGAAACGTAGGACAGAACATTTCGGGTATTTAGCTAAGTTAAGATGTAGAATGTTTTGAGTAATCTTCAAATGTATCTTCAATCCCATCCAGTTTTGTGAGAAAGTATTTTTTCACCTGGTTGCAGTCGTTATCGGATTTTGTGTAAATTATCCATGTCTCTATTAGCTAATCTATAAAATATAATTGTGCAGTACATGTTTGCCTGTGTCAGTTTCATCTGTTAACGAAGTAACACTAATTAAGTCACGATAATTTAGAATTTGTTTATGAAGCAGAATAATTCGCTGATCGGTTAGGGAACAGGTAGAATATAGTGGTATGCTACTGTACAAATTTCTGAATATTCAACATACCAAAACTCATACTGTAACAAATTTATGGATAAGATTATAACTAGTGGTTGAAATATGAATACTATTTTCGATTTCTGGATTCTAAAATTGCTACTGGCTTACATTTCAATTTTCTTTTGTTAATTCAGAACGAAATACATAAGGTTCACTCATATGAGTGAGCGGTAATTCGATCTGTTTTCAGTAATATTTGCAGTCTAACCTTATCTAGAATTATCTCAACAAGAAACCACAGTAGTGTTTTCATCCGATCACAGCAATCATGAAAAAATCAATAAACAGTATGATACTGATTTTCTATGGTTTGGTTTGTAAGGGTTTGTTATGTTTTTACTAGTTGGTCACGGATTGATATCAGTTAGAGAACCATTGAAAACCAGGAAGTACTGGACAGCTGCTGTTTCATCCTAGTTAGAATTCATTAGCCACTGAATCGGGTCCCAGTGGCTGAATGGTATATGAGATTGCCTTGTAACCGTAAGGTCCTGGGTTCGAATCCCAGTGGGTGCGTACTGCCGATGATTCCCAAACTAGGATGAAACAGCAGCTGTCCAGTACTCCCTGGTTTTCAATGGCTCTCTAAGCGATATCAATCCGTGATCAACTCGTAAAAATGATACTGATTACGCTTATCGAATGAAAAATAATATCGATTTTGTGACAGAGCAGTTACTTAAAAGGTTACTGTAGCAATACCTCCCGCTGAGCATAATGAAGTTTTTCATTGAAGGATTAATATAAGAGAATCTAGAAAATGATTATATTCTACGATCTATAGAAAAAAGAAACAACTCTTTTAATAAAAATACGAAAAGTCAACAATTGATCAAGTGATTTCCTAACTGTTGATGAACTCTCTATATAATTTTCGTGATATTTCAATTGTTTACGACATCATCATACCGTACCTTGCTGACCATTCTCCATAGATACACGATATTTGGCCTGATAAATAACGCCTGTTTGACGATTAGTTGCTTCACATGTATAATTGCTCAAATCACTTGGATCTTCAATCTTTTTTTTATAAATGATTTCAATGGTGTTTTAATTTTGTTTTTATACATGAATAATAACACAGTGTAGATGAATCCAAATTTTAACGAGTAAAATGGAAGTAAAAAAGTGGATGTTATACATACGAATAATTGAGATGTTGTTGATGATGGTGATGACAATGATATGAGGATGGTTGGCATGAGATGATCACCAAATGCAAATGACAATCATATATTAAATGAAGGGAAAATTAAAAAGAAAAAACAACATATATATTTAAATGTTAGGTTAGTATAACAATAAATTAATTAACTGACTATAAAGACATAAAGATAAAATGTAATGTTAACAATAAACAAAGCAAGCAATCTAATATCGTTGGTGATGTTAATCATGCAATGAAATCTAGTGCGATGTATAAATTTACACTGATATACTAATTAGTATTGTGTTAAATCACAATATGTTAAACAACTGATTGTATTTGTATATAGAATATATATTCTACGTATTCTATTGCTGGTATGCTGTGATAACTCAATGAAAACTATTGACTGCTCAAAAATACATCAGAATCTAAAGAGTCTGTAATGGTTTCCTAAATGATGTTTCTTAAGCAGTCTCTGAGCATTCAATTTTTCTGGTTAACTGATAACATATTACAGGGTTAAAAAAGAAGTCATTACAATCTGAATGACTCAAGAACACTGTTTTTTTCCTTCACTTTCCCCAGTGGAACAAAGGATTTCAAGCTAGAGGCTTGAGGTTTCTGTAGCAGTGTTTATTATTTTTACAGGATGCGATTGCTAGCCTCATGCCCAGCCTTTCCGCTTTACCAGGATTATTTCTGGCTTAGTGAGGTAAAGAAGTGTTAGGCAGAAACAATACTACAGTCAGTTACATTCAGTGGTATAGATATACTCAAATTATACACATTTATTTCTCCAAGTAACTAATAAATTTCAAGGATACAGTAGATATGTAGACGATGTGAAGAAATCTTACTTATTAGGAATACTCATCAAGTCCATGAATAATAGTATTCATTACTTTCTAACCGTTCTGTGAATGGTATTCATTTATAATAAATAAATAAATCTACATTAATATTGATATGTCACTTAAATACTACTTACCACTTTTGCGTACTATCCCTAAATGATAACTTATGCCAAGTAGCTGACTGCAACAGTGTGTTGTTTTTAGATGAGTAGGTTGAATTATACAAAAAAAACCAACAAGTTGGTTGACAATAATTGTAATGTGTGACTTATCGATTCCACTTTGAATAATACAAACGCTACTAATTATTTAGAAGCTAATAGTTATTTCTAATGCGCATTCTATTTGAATACTAAAGTAGCTGATGAACGGTTATTTATGTGAATTTCTCAGTACCGATTCAATTGGCTGAAAAATTCATTGTTTTTGCAAATAAATTATAAACTAACTTCCCACTATTATTTAAAATTTTAATATGACAACCCACCAATAGGTACAGTGTATCATCTCTAGTTACAACTCGGCCATTTTGATCAATCCAACGAAAATCATATAACTGATTAGCTTCAGGATCATTTTCAAATAGACATTGTCGCATAATGGTTCCTCGACGAAAATCTTCATCTGGTAAAGGTTTGATAGTCAGTTTTAATGCTTTGTATTCATCATCAGTATCAAGACCACCTGATGATACTACATAATTAATAAAAAATATTTTCACATGAAAATAAATAAAACATTAAAAGTAATGAATGATAATTAGTTATAACACAACTTGTGACAATTAATGATGTTCAATGTTCAATGATCTAATGTTTCAAGCAAATTCTTTCTTGAACAAGTGGAACAAAATCATGCTATCTACATGCAATTAGTATAAATCACAAGTGCATTTATAAATATGTACGCAAAGATAATTGAGCAATTATGGTTAATTATACTGAATAATAGGATAATATGATAATGGAACGGCTGGCAAACACACAAACTAACTTTCATGTAATGAAAAATAAGTGCTCCAACTTTAAATGCAGTCGAAAACTTAAAAATAATACCTACGACTTTATACGTGTTTGAATAATTTCACCTATGGACTCAAAATTGTAAATTTGATTTAATCAAAAATAAATCGAACATTTGAACTAAATTATTTTGATTATTCTCCAGCGTTAAGAAGATATTAAATTTTATTTGATGAACAAAGATCAAGTCACTGTTAACCATCCAATCGGTTTTACTTAATGAAAAAGATTTTGTTTTCTCGTTAAATTTGGTTATCTGTATATTTTAAAGTCTTTATAAATAACTAACTGATATTCAAGTGTTCATCAATTTAAAACAATCAACTTACCAAGTCGGAGATTTAAAACTTTCTCATAAACTTCATCATCTGATAACCGTGTTACTTCACATCGAATCGGATATTGTAAGTGTTCAGCTCCAAAGTTTGTAATGTACAGACGGGCATCAGATGATATTTCTTTTACAGTTCCATCCGGTGCACGTTGAATCCATCTGTATGAATACTTTTCATTGTCGAGAACTGAGCAGCGAGAATAAAGCACTTCACCGAAATTCACTTCCAATGGCCCAGGGTCACCTGGATTCAGTACGATCGTAGGCTCAGAATATCTGTCACCACCAGCCATAGAAATGTCATCCTCTTAATTTTGAAAGTAATAAAAATAGAAATATGGTTATCATGAGATAATATGAAAAGAGTGAAAGATATTTTTTTAGAGTCATTGAAATTTCACTATCACTGAAAAGCACTAACGACTTTACGGTACACCTGAAAATGTAGAGAATAACTGCCAATGTATCTCTACTTGCATGAAGTATTTGTGAATACCATTCATGAAAAGAAAACTAATTTTTGACAGAGAATAACATATCTTGAATGATCATAGGAAACGATGCAAAACTACCAATTGTTTTTCCCACACAACACACTCCCTCATTTACTGCAAAAAGTATATACAGAATCGATCATAAGAATAATTAAATTCCAGTAAAGCTGAAAGATTTCTGATTAGAACTTTGTGCGTGTTGTCTACGTTCAGTCAAGCTCTGGATCACACTTGGATTTCATTCATCCTTTAAATTGAGCAGAAAATCAAATTATGGAGATTTCGAAAAATATAGTACCTCGGTGTGAATACCAGTGTAACCAGTTTTGAATACTTCAATGTATACGGGTTCCTGGTAATGACTGTTGGTTTCATTTCATTAGTATAAATGTAGTCACATATCTCTGAAATTACTGTAAAATATTTTGTACAGAAGATATAGGTAATTCGATCAAATTAATTCTGAATGCACACTTTTCGATAGTTATTTAAACTGCACAAGTGAAAGTCATTATTACAGAAACCGTCAGAGAATTTTCAAAATATTATTTGGTTAATTATACATTAGATGCATACATATGTTTGTTTGTCAATGGAGAGGAAGAATTAATTGCTCTGTACAGATGCAGAAACTGACTGTGAAGATGATTTTTTAACCCTGAAGACACAACTGATCAACTTTATGATTGGTTTTTATCGGCACAAGCATCACTATTTAGAACAAATGGATCTCGTCTTTCCAACTCACATCATTTACAGGTACAACGTTTTCTCTCTACCGTTTTTTTTCTCTTTCTGTATTCATTTTTGTTATGTGCTGTTTTGTTTCTCTCTTCCTTACAAACTTTACTGAAAACATTCTTGTTCGTTCTTTCACACTCTGTATACCTCGACCATTTTGCTATTGCTTACGCCAGTAAATATGCTAGTAGTATCTACTTTTCTAACAACTTCAAACACTCTGTTTAAATTTTGGCTTTGCTACCAACATGCTAATATGTTGTTGTCAAAACTGACTGAGATAACCTTAATCTATGTAGAACTATATTTATTGTTAATGTACTAACTGGATGCAATATTGTAGTAAAATGCTGAGAATTCCATTCTGTATCACAAGTACTGATTTGGAATAAAGCTTAACTTATCTTATCTTATCTTATTTAGGTGAACAGAGCCATTAGAAATGAAGATTAAGGGTTGAACCTAATGTAAGCGACAACGACAACTGTTAATTCTACCGAGATGATAGATAAAGAACCGTCTTTAAGTAATTCTGTTTAGTAGATATACGTTTGAAATATTTGGTGATGTTTAATTAAATTAGTTGTAAGGGGGAAAATATTAGTTTGTTCTATCTTACGTGATGAAAAGAAACCGAAAGCCTGGAAACTCCACTGTATGTGACATGAAAATTCTTGCATGATATTAGCCTAAAAGGTATAAATGCTGAAAGATCAACTTTTAAGGGTCACCTGTGATACATATTCCTGAATTTTGCTTAGAATCTGACACATTGTTTATGTTATATTATAAATACCCTAATTTTTACCATTTTACCACAGTAAAAGTCCTGGTACCATGGCAACGTAAGTAATATCAAATATAAATTGTACCCGTTGAACATATTTTCAAATAGAAGAGCAAAGTTCAAATTTTACAGCCATCAGTTGTGCAGCCGTAAGAAACAATATTCACAATAAGGTATATATCAAACATTAAATTCTGCTTATCGAAACTAAAATATTTGCCTTAGTATAAGAATCAACCATGATGATTAATGTACTCTCTCAAAGTGCAACATTGAAGTCTTTCTATTAATGAACATAAATGATTTAAACTAACTGTCTACTAAACGTAAGTATATTCATTTATAGCTATTCAGTAACTAATCTTGTTTCGCTATTTCAATTCAGTGTTTTCTGATAATATATGTTGAAAATAAATGTCTTTTGTTTCGTCGCATGAATATTTGAATTTTAAATTCACAATTTCTTTTGTTAAAAGCTTTTAGCGTTGTGGTTTAAATGTCAAGATCAGTTTTACTTTAAGGTGTTTGCAAATACAGTTAAAGGAGATGATATTTAATTGAAGAAAATGCCATCAGGTAAGTGAACAACTGCTAACTTCACCAACTAACCAGGAACTTTATCCTCAGTGCAAGAACCGCTTAAATAAGATTACCATTTTTTTGGCTTTTAAAGTCCAACAGTAACTTCTCATAGATAAAGCCAGTATTAGTTGATTTTTGTCATCCTTATGTTAGTTTTGTCTAATATATTTCTGAAATATACTTTATTTTTTGATCATTTTATCGATGAAACAATATCAAGGTGTATAATGTGATTCTTGAACGAAAATAACTAAAGTTCTCATAGATTGTACTTGAGTTTTCAAGTGTTGGAAGAAACAGGACATACAAATACTGGTTATATCACCTTTGAGCTTTGTGTCTAGGAAACTCATTATGTTACTCTTGAAGAGGTGTAATCTAACCGTCCTTTTACTGTAATACTTTGAGCACTAAAAATATTCAGTTAGCATTTGAAAGCAGATGTGTGAAAATTCATTTGGATTACTTATGATTCATGTTCATGTTTATGTTCCTATAGGGTAGAAGCCTATATGTGATGGTTTTGTGCTCCCTCAGTTGGTCCGCTATGTTGTGAAGTTTCCATTATCTCTCTGGACAAATTCTTCAGAGCTAATTTCGTTGTAAATTGGGTTCGAATATCTGTCCGTTGATGAAATTATTTTGTCTCCAGGAGCTTTTTACTGTGACTAGTTGTTCGTGTAGATTTCCTTATGACTGTCTTTACTCGCATTCGTATCCATCCTGGTGAACATTTTGTCGTTTCGTTTACTTTTATTGATCGACAAATTTGATCTGTATCTATACGTCTGTTAATTGTAGTTACCATGCTTATAAGAGTTCTCTGGAGTTATTTATGTTTCCTCTAAGGTTTTTACATTGTTTTGGTTGGATCAGTGTTCACAGTAGCTTCTGTGTGTCTATGTGAACGAATGCATGTCACCTGTTCTAACTGCTTTTTATGCTCATGGTTGAGAAGCTCAAGATGTTGTCCGCTTTGACAAACATAAGGTATTTTTTGCAGCCTATGCAATCTATTTTAGAGATAACATTGGTTTTAACGAAATTTGTCATAAACTACTGTCATCTGATATTGCTAACGTGCAACATTTAAATTCAATCAATCTTGATTAACAATAAATTGACATCGATACAAGTGACAGATAAATCATTTCCAACTATTCTCAGATTGTTAGAGCAAAAGTTAATGACCAAACTTCTGTAGAATAATCTAAGTGCCTAATTAGATTCCCTATGTTTCAAGAAATACAGAACGGGATTTTCAAGACGTAGAAGTAATTTTTTTCAAACATTCAGTACGACTGAATGTCTTCCGTTCCTCACCCCATTGTCAAGATTATTACAGGTTTATAGTCATCTGATTTATGAATTCTTCCCAGACTTATTACCCTCATTGATGACGTGATCTTCCAAGTGAAATATCGTTCAATTTGTTTATCGCCTTGTTCTAGAAAAGATTCTGTACATTTGATTAGGAATTTTGCATCACTAGGGTTTATAAACAGCTGTACATTTTGAGCCTGAACTGTGTTACAGGAGATGTTTTCACACGTTCAGTGAAAATAACTGTGTCATTTTCTACTTCATCACATTAAGGTGAAGATTACCATTATAAACTGTAGTCAAAACAAACTAATAACCAAAAATAATTTTTCTTTTATCTGATGCCTTTATAAATCTATGAATCCGCCTTGACAAATGAACAATTTTATCCAGAATTATTTATTCCAATAAATCACTGGAGACCGCTGAATTTTAAGGTAAAACGTTTGACAATTTTCCAGACTACATTTAACTTTCTCACTGGTGTTCAAAATCCCAACTGGCTTATTACTAAGGAACTACCATCATTTTGCCAAAATCTGACTGCTCTAAAATAATGAAAAGATTTTGTGGCTATTGTCTAAGAATTTTCAAGCTTGTTTGTCAATGGGATCCTTTATATATGTAGTGTAGATTCTTTCATGATAAAATGTGCCGACAGCGAAATAACGAATGATTTGAACAACTGAGTTAAAAAGGGAGATTTTCCTTTGAAATCAGATTTCTATTTGTTAATGCGATGGCTTACAAGCAATTTGAAAACGACAATGAAAAGCCTGTGGACTGTGTAAAGAGTCATCTAAGGCACTTGGATAAATATAGATTTGTATGTATATTTGCTTAAACATAAGCCTGGTGTGGAGGTGTATTCTAGACTACATAGATGTTTAAGCCTGCATAACACTACATCCAATCAGCACTCTGGATGTGTCACATTTCTGGCAGCTTTTCTTGCCAAACGTATCTCACATATTTCTGGGCCTATCTTTATAATAAGGTGTACACTTTTCATCACCTTAAACTAATACATGAAAACTGGAATTTTTATGACTTTCGTTAATGAGTTTAAGTTAATTCCATAAGACTATAGGAAAAACAAAAGTTAATTAGGGATGTAAGATGAAAACTACACAGTATGTAGTTATCTGTATCACGATGTATTCTGAATACAGAAATATTTTGTTTTTACTAGTTAATTTCTTAAAGTTTACTAGGAGTAGTAAAAATGCTAAATTTTGCAGTTATCTATAGCCGTCATGAAAAAAAAGTACTCATTAACTTTTACTCACTACGAATCAAATTTATTCTTCCCATTATTCACTACTACATTGGTACTTCTTATGACATTGACCTTAAGTTAACGATCTCCGAATCCTGTTA